TGCCAAATTTAATCTCTTGACTCAAAAAAAATGATCCAAAAAAATCCCTCTATTGGAATATTTTGGATCAAAATTAAGAATCAATGGGTCTTTTTATATAAAATTTGAGGACTCAATGAGCTAAATTGGACATATTCGATAGTCTATGATTAAAACAGCCTCCTGTAAAAATTTTAGGAACCATTTTGACCTTTTTCTCATCAGATGTTCATCCTAATGCTCTGCAAATAAATCCAAAAAATCAATAAATTACCAATATTGAATAGAAAGATGCAATTTACATGAAAAAAGTAATAAAAAAAAGCAATTAGACAAACATATCCAAAACCATCAAATCAATTAATCACACTTTCTTCTTGGAAATGCATATTTTTCATCCACATCTTTTTTTTATGGGAAGAAATTGTAATTTGCATTAAAACATAAAAGAGAACAACCTAAGTGATAGAAAGCCCATCACACTCTTCACAAACCAACCTAACAAATGATGGAGAAAGATTATTAAAGCTAGAAACATCCCAAATAAAATTCACACCAATAGCTAAGGAGCCACAATAATCAACCAACTTATTACAAAGCCTATTAATAGAATGAAAAACCACAAAATTAAACTCTTTAAGAAACAAAATATTATTCTTCAAAGAATTATGTTCTTGTCCGAAGTTTTTCTTCATAGATGTGTGGCAAGCTCTCATTATATTCACATTATCACCTTCAATAATAATACACTGAAAATCAAATTTCCAACCTTATAGCACATCTCGAATAAGAAACACCGCCATCAACTCCAACTAAGCAATATCCCAATGCAGCAATTGCCTAAGATATGCAAGTAGAAATCTTCCTTTATGATCATGAATTACCCCACAAACACCTTGATTATTATTTAGAAGAGATGCATCCACATTAATTTTAATCCTACCAAGGGAAGGAGGATGCCAATAGGTATTATTCAGTTGTGTAAGTTGATTAGCATCCCAGGATTCCTTGATCAGATTGTTTAATAAAGATGACAATATATTGGCCGCAGATAACAAAGCAGTAGGAACTATAAGACCATGATTATGTAGATTTCTAGATCTACAAGATTGGTACACAACACTACAATAAATTCTAGCTAAAATGGATTATGCCGTGACTTACTTTCCAATTCAGCAAAACATTCAGAAATAGAAGAGAAAACAGGAATTGAAACCCGTATTGATTAACCTTTGCAATGATATTCAACAACTTATCACATCTCACAATGCTCAATGTTTTCAATATCATTGCATCCTCTAGGACAACCCATTCTCCCCAATTAATCTCCTATACAGTAACCAATCCTTCGTAGGCAAAGCATTACTAAATAAACCCCACCAGAAAACTTTTTCTCTCGAAGTTAGCTGCTTTCATCCACATCTTGGTGTTAAAGAAATGCAGAACTTCTTAGGTGCATTGTAATCGTTGGAAGGGGACTCCTTCAAGCTAGTCTCTGGCATAATTATTAGTTGCATTTAGTCTTTAAAGGCCCTCTTCATAATTAATTGGTTATTATAGGGCTTGTTTTCATTTCCAAACTTCATAAGGGCAGCTACGTATTTAAGAGGGTCTAAAGGTTAAGAGGAGAAGCAGCCTATTTACACCATTCCCTTTAGAGAAATCAATTTTTGGATCGAGTTATTTTTCAGGTTATACTGAGTTAGGAAAGGAGGTCTATGTTTTGCGGTGGAACCTCAAGTTTGGGGAAGTTGGTGGGCAAGGAGATCATGGTAGAGTATGGGAATCAGATACAGTCGATTGTCGGAGCTTCTACACCTTACCCACAACATTCTCGGGCATTGTCACTGCAATTCCAGCGGTTGTCCAACAGGTACCTGAAGCAGCTCCATCTACAGCAGCAGCTTTTTAACAGTCTTCCTTCTGTTTTTTTTTTTATTTTTTTTTTTTGCCTTTACCATCCAATACAGGGTACAAGAACATCAATTGGGAATTTTTCTGATGGATTCTTAAAGTACTGGTGGTTGGAAAAGGTAAAAGGAAGAAATATTGAAGACTAGGAGCCCCCAAACACTGTGTATACCAGCCACTATTCTCAGGTTGCCGCAAAAAATCAATTAAAATAAGTGCCTTCGGAGCTTTGGAAGAAGCAAGAACATTCTTCCTGATCCCTAAATACCTCAAATCAGTCTCTGTTGTCTATTCTATAGTCAATAGTTATTTTCGTGATTTCATGAACAATTGAACTGCCCTTTTCACTTTTCAATTGTTGCCACAGGGGACTGGAATTTCCTCCAATACTGAATTGTTGTATGTTTTCCTGAAAGGGGGAGAATCACTATCAAGGCACAAGGCCAAGAAAGGAAGACCTAGCAAGGCATCTCAATACCGGGATTCACCTCAGTTAGCTTTTTAGGCTGGAAACAACAAATATAACTGCGGTAAGGTGAAAATCAAGAAAAGTTCAATTTCTGGAACTGGCAACCGAGGTTGTCTTTATTCAAAATTCATGTTGCATTTTACATTCTAGTGTAATGATCTTTTGGGTTAGCCAAAGTCGGGGAACAAGTATTTCTTTCCTAAGTTTCCCATAAATCAAGTTCCAAATATCGGGCAAAGCCTGATATTTTAGTTTGCTCCTTTATTGGACATTCTCACGTATTGCAAGGCTTATGTGTTATTGTTTTCTGCCATTACCTTAGGGTGCGGTAAGTTTAGCTGGAAACATGGTTTTCATTATGATTTCTTCTTTACAGGTTTTTTCCATATAAACGTGTTTTGTCTTGATTGTCAGTTGGAATAGTTTCGCATCAGCAGTATCCTCTTAACATTCTCAAATAATTAATCGGGTATCAGCCTCCATTTTAAGAATGACAATAAATAAACCAGGCCACAAACAACTCATGCGATACCTAACTCAGTATTCACGAAACTACAAATTTGAGAACTGCAAAGCTTGTGTTTTTGTGTTCAAGTAAGATGCTATTGTGTGCACAACTATTTGGAGAAGTTGCATTCCCAGCTCTCCTGATATGCCTCCATTATGGTAAGTATTAATCATCATCAACAGCATAAGTAGCCTGATCCTGATACTGAGCTCATCTTTATGAATCCTTCTTCCAACTAACTCATGTTAAGTGCTACACAAGGTGTTAACTCCATATTTGCATGCATTTATAATTTCAAGGCATGTATTTTTTTTCGAACTGCTTTCTTTCTTAATCCTTTTATATTAAATTTAACCACTCATCTTATTAGTGCATCTTCAACTCTCCTTGACAAATAATAATAAACATAACTAGATAGTAATATATTTTACCAACATTCAGAAAAGTTTAACCACCTTAAATCCTAAATCCTAATCTTCAAATATTTCAAACAGCATATAAACAATATGATGTGGTACGATACAAAGGAATAAGAACTGCTTGGGGATTTTAATATACGATTATTAAAACTTTGCTAGTTATAGAATTGATGCTTACCCAAGTTAGGCTTTCGGAATTATCAATTAGAGACTATACAAGGCATGTAGTTACCACTAGATTAACGGTATGCTATCAAGTTAACAACATAAAATAAAGAGTGTAATGTTATGGCGAAGAAACAATAATCCACGGTTAACAAATAGAACTCTTCACCTTGGGGTCCCTCACTCACGCTCTTGTTGGTGGCGCTTTAACGGAGGAAGATTGAGAGCAAACCGAGCGATGCTACTAGGAGACAAATGGCGCCCAAAGTGTCGTCCGTTGGAGAAGTAGCCGGCGGCGGGTAGTCCACGGGATGACTAGCGAGCATCCAACGTCCGGGAAGAATATGCTCCTCGATGGAAGGTACTAGCGTAAACAAAATGTGATTTAAGTAATCCTCCACGGAAGAATCCACGTCAAGGTTCACGTGGAAGAAAGGAGATTCAAGGATGTTGGTTCGTCCTTGATCATCAAATAAGAAACCATGGTCGACTTCCGGATCAGCCATGCATGATGGTGGTGAAGGTTGGAAGAATCTCTCTTGAGTTTGGTGAGGAGGAGGAGAGGGGATGATGGGGGAGAACTTGGGATAGTGAGGGGGCGGCTAGGGTTGGGAGTCTTTGGGTTGAAACAAGTAGCTTGGGGGCAAAGGAGATTGGAGGGAAAATCTGAAATTTAATTTCAGATTTCCATTAAATGGGAGGGGCCAATTTGAAATTCAAATTAGCGGTTATTAGAGGGAAAACTCATGTTAAGTGTACAAAAGGTGTTAACTCCATCTTTGCATGCATTTATAATTTCAAGGCATGTCTTTTTTTCTCGAACTGCTTTCTTTCTTAATCCTTTTATATTAAATTTAACCACTCATCTTATTAGTGCATCTTCTACTGTCCTTGACAAATAATAATATACATAACTAGATAGTAATATATTTTACCAATATTTAGGAAAGTTAACCACCTTAGATCCTCAATCCTAATCTTCAAATATTTCAAACAGCATATAAACAATATTTCTCTACCTGATTGACTTGCCTTGACGAAAGAAGGAACAAAGTTGTATTATGGAAAGAAACAACACTAGATTACAACAAAAGACAAGAAGGGTCAATAAAGGAACAAAAGAGAAAAAAGATTTGTACATATACTTATAAAAATATCTAGTCCTTTCAGCTTAACCCCAAAAAAAAAAAGAACTCCAGTAACTCAGCTCTATTTCTTTGACATAAAGAGGAAAGAATGCTTCAAATTCAAAGAATGAAAATTTTAGTTTTTCCATTAACATAAAATGCATAATAATGAAAAGGTCTATGAAATGATTGAATTATTAAAAAAAAAAGTGATAGCTCTCCAGAAAGAACAAACTAAGAAAACCCACTTTAATTGCTAAAATAAGAGATCTACTCAATCTTACATTTCTAATTATTATCAAAAAGTGGGTTGGAAGGAGTAAAATACAACAACATATCAGCAATTAACTATCCGAAAATTTGAGATGAAAAAAATACACATCCTTGTATCTAATAACATTAGTTTGACATAAGATCCTTACATGTTCTGAGATATAATAGGAAAAAGAAGCCATTTCTCAGCATCAAATGGTGATTCATTTTCTAATTCTGCCATCTCAACAGAGCCTTCAAACATCTTCTTCGGCCAAATAGCAGTCAATTCAAACCCTAAAATCAAAACGAACTACTCAAATTACGACTGAGGAATCAAATTCCAGCCATTGAGTCTTTATTGATATTATTTCCAAAGCAATACGCATCAAAATTTATTTTAAGGGAAATTTCTAAAAAGCTAAGCATGCAAAAGTTATAGCTGATGTCATATTAGTGTAGATTTATTCAAGTGCAGTTCATAGTCTCAATGAACTACCAAAGACTGGGAAATCATAAATTCATAGTCATATTAGTGTAGATTTATTCAAGGGCAGTTCATAGTCTCAATGAACTACCAAAGACTGGGAAATCATAAAGCTCAAACCTGTTCCACAGTATGCTGAATTGGCGAAGAGCCTTCAGAAACATACAAGCAATAAACACCAAAAAACTAGAGAATAGTTACTACACTATGCGCAAATGTTCTGGTGTGCAAGATCAGCACCAACAAGATCCACCATAGTAAGTTTCAAAAGAGATCATACAATATACAAGATTATCATTCGCCTCTGCCCAATTAGTTCTGACAATATTAGATTCAAATGTGTAAGATCAAGAAATTAATTTGAACTATTAGATAAGATTTACTTGCACAAGAAATCTGAATAACTATGAATACAATGACCCCAGCTAAACTTCTACGTAGTTGTGGACAGTAAAATGCCTACACCAGAAACCAGAAAAACTGCTATTATCCACTTTTCATAAAAGAAAAAAAAACTATTTAAGTTGATTACTAGCAAGCATTTTATTTTCATTCGGGTTACTATAATTAAGAACTATGACATACCAACTGAATTATATTGATCTCACTACTGCATTTACAATTAGATCATCATCAACCTTGAGGATCAGACAAGACTACGTTTAGCCCAATATGGAACTTTTGCCTTCAAGAGGATGCCATGTGAGATGTGTAATGCCCTGGCTAAATTCCGGAGATGGATGATGGCCATCATTTCTGATATGTGGAAAATTTTATGGAAATGTTTATGAATGACTTTTTTAATGTTTGACTTATCGTTGATCTCTATTTACACCACGTAAAGCTACTATTTTAAAGTAGTAAGGATTCTAACCTGATTGTTAGCACAAAGCGATGTAAATAAGTGCTTACAAAATTTCATTTTAAATGAGCATCCATGCACCATAAAGTAAATAAATCACTTATCATAAGCTCATACCATAAAGTCGATGTATCACTTATCATAAGCTCAAGACCATTGACTTTATATGCTAGATGCATGATGAAATCATTGTGAAAATTTTTAACATTTGGGCTTTTGCTTTTTTTGATTTTAATAGATATATGATTCTCCGTCTGTAAATGTGTTTAGTCGTGTTTATAAATATGTATGCATTACATAGCCATAAAGCATGCATAGTAACACACAAATTTAAAGAACATTTCATGGTGGGATGATCTTGACGTCCATACCTATTTCACATCTCAATTCGATCAAATGTGATAAGCATGGAGGGTAAAGTCATCATGCCACACAAATCGAGATGAGATATCACACAAATTGAAACTACCCAACAATAGCTTGTTTTGTAAAATGAACAACATCAAAGAATCTGAAGCATTGAATTAATGAAGAAAAAGCCTCGTGATTCAATCAAACACTGGCAAAAATGGCAAACAAATAATGTGATGTCACACAAATCTAATTAAAGACTTGACCGCAATAAAATCATCTAATCCTTGCCCACCTCGCAAAACAAATTGTGTAACGTCTTCAGAACATCAAAACAAGCTTAAAAGAGCACCTATAATACCTTGATTGTGCACAAGAAAAAGATGAAAATCTACACGCACATGAGGCAACGACACAAAGACAATGTGTGCGAGAAACAAAAATTCATGAAAAAGATGATATAAAAAAAGTTAATTCGCACAATAATTATCTTTTTATCTAATTAAATTCAATAAGTCAAACGACTGCCTCATATCATATGCCTCCATTGTCCTCTTCCCATACTCTTGCCTCATTGTAGTCCTCGCTCGCATACCTCCAGTCCAATGCTCACAATTAAAAAAAAAAGAGACCATAACGCAACTCTCCCTTTCTATCGCTTACTCTCTCAACCAGCTTTCAATCTCTCCCATTTGCATGAACTCCTCTTCAAGTCATGACCACTTGCAACTTTTTCTTTTAATCAAACACACTTCTCAGCTCGCCATTAACACAGATCTTAACGCACCAATCTGCAAGACTCCAACAACTGCCAAGATCTTCCTAGCTCAACCACTGGCAATCAACCTCCAAAGCACAAGACAAACTCAACCTACTCCTCTTCCTCTTATACATAAATTCCCAAATCCTTTGCGACAAAGAAGCAAGGAGGTGCGATGAGAGCGACTAGACCAATAGTACCTAAAAGAGGTAAAAAAGCAAACAACAAGATTTAAGATTCTAAAGGGTTTAAAGTTGTCAATTATGCTATTTGACATAATTTAAATTAACTCATGCTTAAATCATACTCAAAACAGCCAAAAGTTGCTATTTGTTTCCCCACTAGTGGCCACCAACATTTCTAGCCAACCACTATTCTACCATCCTCTCCCTGTCTTCCTCTACATTTCTCATTATCTCTTCCCATTTTACTCACACTCATTCACAACCCACCCTCTTTCTCTCTCTAGCCTATCTAACCACTAACCCATCTCTCTTAATTATTATATAGAAAGCAAAAAAAATATAAGAAAATATAAAACAGGAAAAAAGGAAAGAAAAAGAATGAGCATCAAAGCCATTCCACATGAGGAAAGAAACAAATCTTTTTCCATTGGACAAAGAGCCCATCCTACAACTATAAAGGGAGGGATAGAAGTAGGGGTGTCAATTCGGGTCAACGGGTCGGGTTCGGGTCGAACCCGGAACTGACCCGGCACTGTTTGGGTCAACCCGACCTGTTTTTAAAAACTGGTCAGGTTTCCGGACCCGACCCTATTCGGGTCAACCCGACCCGACACGAATGACACGGAATTGACCCAAAATTGCTAGTTTTCGGGTCAAAAATCGGGTCAATCTTCGTTTTTCGGGCAAAATCGGGTCAAACTCGAACTTTCGGGTCAAATATGAGTTTTCGTGTCACTTTCGGGTCAATTTCGTGTTTCCGTGTCAACCCGAACCCGACCCGATTTTTAAAACGGGTTGATTTCTTCAACCCGAACCCGACCCGTTTCGGGTTTGGGTTGACCCGAACCCGGATTTTTTCGGGTCGGGTTTCGTGTCGTGTCAAAAATTGACACCCCTAGATAGAAGGTTCAACTACATAGAAGAATGATACACGACTACTATATTATCATTAAAAAAAGTCGAGACATAAATTGAAGAATTCGTTAAATTTATATAGGAAAAAGAAAATCAAATGAAAAAAAAAAAAGACCTTCAACTAAAATGAAAAAAAAAAAAAAAGACCTTCGCTATTACTTCAGAAGAGGTAATTGAAATAAGAGTAACAAAGGTAAATCCTACATTGAACTTGATGTTCATGCCAATGAGGAAGCAAAGGAGGAATATTTCTATCCCAAGCTTAAGGTAAAATCTACCATCATTAATGCTCTTTTGGATCCAAGTAGTGAAAAAATAAAATAAAATAAAATCCTTATCTCTAAAGCTATCATTTAGCCGAGATGATTGACTAAATATTTTAATTATGTTGAGACCCTCAGAGTTAAGTTGAGATCATTATGAGTTAAATGAAATATCTCATTCATCAATTCTACTAAAAAGCAACCAAAATCCTATTCTCTATGTTAATTTCAAAAGATTAATATCTATCTGGTCACAAGGCAACATAATCTTAAGTTTTCTTTCTCCAGAGATTTCAGTAATGGAGTAATATGTGAAGTTATATAACTGGAAGTATGTCATGCAAGACAGTTTATATTTGTGATAAGAATGCCATTTTTTTAAGACAATAGACATTGGTGCTTGTGAAGGGAGGTTAAAAAATATAGACAGTAGGTCTATTGTTCCACCATCAAAAGAAATGAAAAAAGAAAAACAAACTAGAGGATTCTAATACGGGATCAAGAACTCTTCTTTCAATAAAAAGGCACAAGTGCCATAATATGCATCTAAGGAACGAAAATAAATTATCCGAGTGAACTCATTGGTTGCAAGGATGATGTAGACAAGGGGGGGGGGGGACTACTGGTTTTCTCGTGCCTGGGCTCTTTCCCGTGACCGTGACCCTTGGTTCCGGGCGGTCTCCTTGGTTCCCGTGGATGCCTCTTCGGTTCCTTGGCTTGGGATGTTTTTTAGGTATTTTAAATGCTATGTGATGTTTAGAATTCCTATGGGAATTTATTAGGAGTCTCTTTATATTCCCCTTTCATACCTATATATATGGGGGGTATTGTATTGTTTTAAAAAAAGTTGAATGATATGTTATTTTTGGAAAAGCTATAACCTGCGGGTTTGCTTCGGAAATCCTGCGGGCTCTTTCCACACTTCTTTCTCATCCCCTCCGGAAATCCTGCGGGCTCTTTCCACCCTTCTTCTTGGCTTCTAACCTCTTTCGTCTCTACGCAAGTGCCACTCCACCTGTATCCTTCTTCTCTAAGTGAAGCAACTTTAGGGTGCCGTCAAGTGATTGAGTCAAGTTGGTAGGTCGTTGTAATTTTGTTTGTTTTTTTTTAAATTTCTAAGTCGGTCTTTTATTTGAAATGTAAGAGTTTGTTCTTCCTCTTCTCGTCTTTGCTTCTTGTGGGGAAAGGGTATAGGCACCCCTATATTTTTTGCCCGCATCATTTGGTATCAGAGCAAGTTAGGAAGTCCTAAGTTTGTGATTTGTCAAGTTGTAGTTTGTCAGATTTTATTTTAGTTTGTTAAGTTTGTCAAGTCAAGTCGTTTTGTTGAGAGTCTTTTGAGTCTTTCTTTGAGTCTTTTTTTTGTCTTGCTTAAGTCGTAAAAAAAAATGAAAAAAGACAAAAAGACAGAAGAAAGCAAGCCAGATGAAATTGAAGATCCTATGGATAGATGGATTCCATCAAAGTCAACAAA